AAATAATTTATGAAAGGGAGCTTGTATCAAACGTATGTAGATGGATTTAATAAACTGCGAGAAAAAAATATTTTTAATTTGAAAAAAAATTTTTTAGTAGCTTAATGTGTCAGAAAAAAATTATAAAAAATACTTTCTCTACGAAAACTTTTTCAGAGAGATAGTTTAAGTCAAGCAAGTTTGGGAAAAAGTAGAAGCAATTTTAAAAATACAGATTTAGGCAACTATGTAAGGGAAACAAAGAAAAACATTTTATGATTTAAAAATCGAGGCACTCTTACTTTTGCTGCGTCAAATTTATGGACCACTTCCTTTAATGCTGCTTCTGTTTCGGCTACCGTTGATATTCCTTTTCCTTTTCCTTCTAGAATTGAGCTCCTTGTTTCCTGTTTTCCTCTTTCAGATTTGTTGCTTCCTTGAATGCTGTTGTAGAAGTGGGCAAATTTATTTTGCCACACGAAGAAAATCAAGTCATGACTAACTTGTGTACATACACATGTATGTGTTAGGTGTGGGAGGGGGGTGTATTTTGGATGTGCAATTTCTCCTACTCATGAATTGTCCCACAATAATGGTCCAATGGCTGCAAAACGCAGTTTTCCTCTACTCAAAAATTTTTCCATGTATATTGCTGTTTACATTTGAAGAAGAGTGATAGATACAGTCATAATTGTATCCTTTTCTAATACAATTTTCCCTTACTTATGGATTTCTGCTCACTGATGGTCCAATAGGTGCAAGACACAGTTTCCCCCTTCTCATGAATTTCTATATGTATAATGCTATTTGCATTTTAAGAAGAGAGATAGTAGCAGACATAATTGTATCCTTTTCTAATGCTACAACTTTTCGGCGTAGCAGTTCGACTGCCTATTTAAACAAGGTGCTAGTCCCTCATAAATTCATTCATTCATCGACATGGATTCTTACCAAGTATCTTTTACACCGACAGAGGATTTGGAAATGGAAGTCTGCAAGCAGTTGTTTGAGTCTTCACCAATCACCAACTCTCAGGATGCAGGACAAGTCGTCGCTGACCATTTATTGCTGCTGCAACCACATTACTCTCAGGATGCAGGGCCGCTCATCGCTGATCGCCTTTTTCCATCGCTGCCAGTTGAAGAAAAGCTGGGTGAATTAGTTAAATATTTGCAAAATGATGACCGCAACGACAATGATTTGTTTTGGCAGAGATTGGCCGCTCACCCAATATCACCGTTATTATTCGATGGACTTTTTCCACCGATAACACCAAAAAGTCCTACTCCTTCATTTACGAAGGAGTTCGATGAGCAGCATGAAATCGCTAGACGTCAGACATCACCACCACCTCCTGAACTGCCGCCCATAATTGACCTCACGTGGTCACCGGTGAAAAAATCAGCGGTATCAAAGGCAACGTTGTCAAATGTTGAACCTATACCACCAGTAATACTGAATACACCTTAGCCGTTGATATCACCATCAAGCCCAACTCCTTCATTTACGGAGAAGTTCGAAAAGAAGCATACTAGTCATCGGGCAACATCACCGTCACCACCACCTGCATCACCACCAATAATTGATCTTACATGGTCACTGGTCAAACAATTGGTGATGTCCGAGGCAGCGTCACCAACAGTTGGCCCGAATAGTGATGTATTGCAGCCTCTGGGTTTATCAACTAAAAACCTCAGTCAGCAGGATAATATGCCACCACCACCACCACCAGCAGCAGTTGAACTTAAAAACTCGACAACCGTCAACAAAAAAAAGAAGAGGTAGAGTACCATCAATGAAGGGAAAAAGATAAAAAGAGTGTGTCGAAGTATTATATAAAAAAAAGTATGTCGAAGTATTATATACAAATTAAATTTTATTAAAATGGTGTAAAACAAATATTTTTATTTGTTGAAAAATAAATGGTAAAAAAGGTAAATAAAATCTGTTTTTAACGAAACTTATTACCTTATAATTTAAAAATTCCATCCTTGTCCCATTCGTGTTCGTATCTATTCAGATAAGCCCTCTCTTAGTAATAAGTATTGGTTGTACTGCACACGAAAGAGAGTGTGGCTGAGACACTTCGGTCATAAATCAAAGATAGTTCTGGCTGCTGATGTACCCTACAGGTAAGCGTATCGTTGGATCTCTTAGTTATACGTAGAAATGAAATAATACAAAATAACTCCTACTGCTGATTTTACCGCCACTACTGTTATTTGCAGATTTTTCTCCTGTGCGTAAACAGTAAAACACATTATACATAGGCTGGTAGTCAAATTCGAACCAAGGATCTGCCGATACACAAGAAGATAATTTTTACTGATGTTATTTTTCTGATTCTATTTTTGCTGTGCATGAACATTCCACCCATAAAAAAATCTGTACATAGTCAAATTGAAACCAAGGACCACTCGATCTAAAGATACTGTGCTACATCTCTAACTCTAGTCCTACCCTATTACCTACACATTATACATTTTAAACTAAAAATCTTTATAAAAATATATACATACAAACATCGTACGTAAGTATTTATCTATATATGTAGATGAACATGTATATGTGTACACGTATTACCTTGGAAAGGTAACACTTATTTGTCATACCTTACAGATATGAGCGTATGGTTGGGGCTCTCATCCATACATACAAAACAACACGCTCTCCTACAGGCAAACCAGAGAGAAGGAGGCTGTGCACAACCCCTAGCGCTTCGTGCAGAGTCATGGCTGTCCGCGAACGGTCTTGCACGTGGGCAGGGAGGGGGACGTGTGCTGGATTCGGCGTGTGCTCGTATCGGCCTAGTCTATCTACTACAATAAACTTAATGACTTATCATTATCCAAGACTATCAGCCTTTACTCTGTTTGGACTGCTGAACACAACTAGACTTAAATACTTTCTTAATAATATTCCTAATTCTGTTTTTAGTTTCTTTTGATTTATGAATAGTTAATAAGGCACATTTATTATTGAAAAAAAATTTTAGACTACAAGATAGTTCAAGGGGTTCTCTTAGCTCATTTTACGAGTTTATTACGTATTCGCAGAGCTCGTTCAAAAATGTCATGTTAAAATACAATCCACATAGCTCATGGCAATAAAAATATGGTGAGGATAAAATACTTGTTTACAAAGATAAAGTTACAGCAAAGAATGTCCGCAACAATTTTTTTTCTTCAAATAATTTGTGATAGTACTTTAATATAGCACAAAAATATCTATAAATAATTGTAACCAAGGTAACTGTAAGTTAAATTATACAACGTGCGTTCAAAACTACTTGTACGCATGTATATCTAAAAAATGGATGCGTAAATGTGTGCATGCATATTATCTTGATGTATCTATATAACCGAAGTAAGACGACAACCGCCATAGGTCTTGTAAGAAGTTAAATAAGTTATTCTATATGTCAGAAGCTTCCTATTTCTGGTAAATGGCAGAAATAAGATAGAAGTAATAACTTAAAAAAATATTAAAACTCATTCCAAATCTCCAGAAACGTATACTGCAAATAGTTTTAAAATAGTTTTATGAAATTTGAGCCTGAAAATACAAAGAAATAATATTTATTGAAGGACAAAGATATATGCCAAAAATAGTTTTTATCATCGCAGCACAATCGCAACCGAATAGACCGGGCTCAAACAGTGATGAACCGGGAAAAATTATTTGCACCCAATTTTCTTTGTCTTCCTTATTTAAAATATAGTAATGTACCTAAAAGTTTATCCTGCCACCCAAGAATGTGGTCAGGTATTTTTTAAGCAATTTTTTTGTAAACTGTTTCGTCAAAGTTGTTTTTTCTACCTGAAAAAAATATTCTCAGATTCTTTGGCACATTTGGAACAAAAAACCAATTAAAACGTATATACCTAAACTCCGCTGTTTTCGAGTTGAAAAGTCCCAAAGTTTCAAAAAATGCATTTTTTCCGGTTTTCAGGGCTCCACGAATGTGCTGAATAAAAATATTTTCGTATGTTACAACACACGATCATAAACTGTAAGCCTCCCTCTACAATCTCCAAAAAAGAAAATTTCGAAAAGTTGAGTGGCATGATTGTTTTTTGCAATAAACGTTCGGGGCGTTTCAGCATGCGCTCATATGTGAGTGTAAAACTATATATGTTCACTACACGCTGAGCCACAAAACGTATACATAGTTATACACTCACACATGAGCGCGCGCTGAAGCGCCCCGAACGTTTATTGCAAAAAACAATCATGCCACTCAACTTTTCGAAATTCTCTTTTTTGGAGATTGTAGAGGAAGGCTTACAGTTTATGATCGTGTGTTGTAACATATGAAAATATTTTTATTCAGCACATTCATGGAGCCCTGAAAACCGTAAAAAATGCATTTTTTGAAACTTTGGGACTTTTTAACTCGAAAACAGAAGGGTTTAGGTATATACGTTTTAATCGGTTTTTTGTTCCAAATGTGCTAAAGAATCTCAGAATATTTTTTTCAGGTCGAATAACTTTTCCCGGTTCATCACTGTTTGAGCCCGGTCTATCAGCTATTTTGCTGCCCAATAAACCATGAGGTGGGTCTATTTGAATGATGCTTCTATGGTAAATACTATTTAAATAAGGGTGCAGTAAGCCTATCAATGTCAAAAAACGCTTAAAAATAAAGAAATGATATTTTCTGACATTCTACTGAGGAGAACAAAAACATGGACGTACATAAATGAGAGATGGGTTCATAGGAAGAAAAAAAAAACTTAAATTTCACTTGTTTTCGATGTATCTCTATAATATCTATCATAAAAACAGAAAAAATTTGTAAGCATAAATTAATTACTTATCTACAAATAAAATGCTTTTTGCTACACAATGAGTAAATTGAAAGGCACTAAAATTGATTTAAAAAATGAGATTACATTAATTTGATTCAAGTGATATGATTGTCGTCAATAATATTCCATAGTAATCATTATCAATATTAGAATAGAATCGTACACACCATTTTTGCTTGAAAAAAAATTAATTTCGTTATAACTTCTTACCGTTTGATACTGTGAATGGCTAGGATGAAGTACCAGTTTCGGATGATTACATACATTCCGAAGATATCTTAAGGCTTCAAAAACATGTCTACGTTTAACATGATCAAGTGTATTGAAATCTCTCACTACAGTGGCTGAGTGATTAGTTTTAAAATCTTCGTACAGAGATTTTTGCAAATCAGAAAGATCGCAATAATAATCTTGTGTTATTTTGGGTGGAAGATCTTGAAGAACATCTTCTTTTATTCGCCTAAGAAGAAACGGCAGTACCTGCAAAACAAATACAGTTTGCTAATAATAGTATAAAACTTCTAATAAACTTATTAAAGAGTTCAGTACATGCATTTGTTTGAATCGACTAAAAAATTCGCTATTCAATAGTGTACACTGAGAAGTTGTATTTCACTTTTTTTTAATTAATGCTAAGGAAGTGCAAAGCTTTCATTTATATGTTGTTAAACTACATACCTACAGATAAAAAAGAATCAGGACTCATTTAAATAAAAATATTTAATTAATGAACAAAGAAAAAATTACAAAAAAAAAAAATAATTTGATTCGACAGAAAATCAATTTTTATTGAGACACAAAAAATATTCTTTCCACGCCAACGTACATATTGTTTCCATCGAGTTTTACCAAACCTATGTTTTTAACAGACCTGAAACACTAACCTTGCTGCTTCTCCCAGCTACACGGAGGGAAAAATCATGGAGCAAACGCATAGTGGCGATGGAAATGACCACTTTTTTTGAACCTATGCGATTGGCTCATGACGTGTATGCCTTCAACGCACGTAAGCTGTAGCTCACTAGCATAAGCGCTAACCACGGAGCAAGTACATAAAGGTATTGGATTTTTTTCCATCTTGCCTATATATTTTCAGGAGAGAGGGGATACCGTACTACAGTCAGCTATAGTGTGCAGTAGACTAGAAGTATATACGTACCTATACTAACTGCTATGGGACGGTATTCCCTCTTTCGAGAACACATAGGCACGTTAAAAAAAACCAGTGCTTTCATACGTTTGCTCCATGGTTAGCGATTATGGTTGTGGGCTATAGCTTACATGCGTTGAAAGCACACACGTCATGAATCAATCGCATAGGTTCAGAAAAAGGTGGCTATTATCATCGCCACTTTAAGTTGGCTCCATGATTTTTCCCTCTCTGTACCTATTTTTCTTTAACTATTCACTCTTTCTTACGCGAATTTTTTCCCAACTAATTGCCTACCCCTATTCCCATTCTTAGGTATTCTATGATATTTTTGTGCTTGATCACACCCACGTTATTAAAATTATTTAAGACCGTCATGGACTTAAACTTGCAAATAGTAATATATTTCTCACACTAGAAAGTTGTATTTTAATTTGTACAGTACTTTTAGCACATTTAAAAAATTGTACCAATGCATTACATATTATAGATGTATAAATGTATTTAAATGCTATAGATGTATGATGAAAAGTAAGTACCGTACTTCCTTATTTAACAATCCAGTATAAAGGTTTGTTTTTATACTGTTCCAAAGACTTGTTTTTATACATGCAGCATGAAGCATTTGTGCAGCCAGTCAGCTCGGGGCCCACCATGTAACTTAGAGACGAGAGTTTCTAATAACCCAAGACATTTTTCACACACTAGTGTACAGGTTTACTGGTTTTCTTTCTCTCTCTCTCTCTCTCTCTCTCTCTCTCTCTCACTTTCTCTCTCTCTCAACAACAATATCTGCTATTATAGATTATCTAACACTATAAAAATAAATATACGTTTCCTTGTAATTTGAAAGTATGATAAATGTTCCATCTGTGTCAGTTGCTACAGAGCAAATTGTTTAAACACCGAAAACGTTGAGATGGTTAACGAAAATAACATTAACAAGAGTGCAAGACGGCAAGGAGGTGTTAGATATCATTTTTAGCACTTGTGCATCACCAGAGAGCGATGTTAGGGGAGACCAGGGAATGACAAGCTTACTTGGTAACTCTAGCACCTCAGCTTCTCCCGAATAATAAAATATTTTCCATTCAAACCTTGTAAGAAACAATTCCTAATGCGATTACTTTTTCTTCTCCAAGTAAAACACTAAACACTGCAGCGTAAGTTTAATGAAAAACATGTAAAATTTTATCTCATAGAGTGCCTGCTCTCGCATTTTTAATCACACACACTCGATACAAACGAACCTGTTGTAAACTCTCTAATGATGTCTATTTTATAGATTAAGCCTTGAGCTTCAACATGCTTTTTTTAAATTTGATCTAGGAGGCATGAAAAAAAAGTTATTTAAAAAATAATAACGTGTTCTATATGGGGAATGACCGGCACCTTAGGGTGGGGTGCTACTAGCACGGGAGTTCTCTATATTATCAGTGATCTCCGACCGTAAACAGATTTCCTAACCTTATCCAGACATGTGAACATTGTGATATACAGTGATACACCGTGATACACAAAGTGATTTAGTTTTTAAGATGTTAATTGTTTAAGCCAATTTTACAAATGGTGCGTCACAAAAAAAAAAGTAAACAAGGGAACTGGGATGAGAACTAAATGTCAATCAAAAATCAAAACTATAATTCCAAAGTTACAACTTCATTTAATTTAAAATATTTGCTACATATATACATGCTCTCGTCATTTTTTTATTTTAATTTTATGTGTAATCAATAAAAAAAACTTCTTTTTCAAAGTTCATTTTACGAGTTACCCTAAAAAATCATCGTGATTTATCAGGCTAGTGGTACCCCACCCCCTGCTAGAAGTACCTCACTATGGGGCACCACTAGCAGTTTCCAGAGGTTTGGTTTGTGCCGTTCTTAAACGAAAAGTTTTATTAATTTTCTATAATTTGCTTGTGTTGTGATAACTACATTCTGTTTTCCTTACAAATCGATTTTTTCGGTTAATCTTACTTTAAAATTAAAGCTGTAATTAGCTGTTGAAGAAAAGGTGTCCATCATTTCCTGGTCTCCCCTACGTGACAAGAAGAAAAAATACGGGTAGAAAACAATAGTAAATAATTTATAATCTGAAATAAAATAACAAAAATGACGAAGTAACGTTATGAATCTCCAATTATAAGAATTGATGGCTTTTTTTAACAGAAGGTTTGCTGTAAATACGACTATATATAAATGTTACGTAAACAAAAGAATTTTTGCGATATTTGACATTTAATATGTAATATTTATTACCATATTATTTTTACTAACTTTCTAAAATATTGTGTAAGTGCAAATATATTGTATTATGCAACATATTGTATAAAGCAGGAAAATACTCCACTTAAAACTATCAGGTTATCAGATTATGATGTTATGGCGTACAACTAAATATTATCAAGTATTTATCAAAAATATAATACAGTTTATCTCTTACAAAGCTCCCTTACGAGGATAAAAAATAAAAGTGATTACATAATTATTGTTATAGAAGAAAAGACTAGATAGTAACAGTTTTGCAATTTTTTCAATTAAAAAAAAAAAACATCAAATTAGATCCAATACTTTTCAGAATAATCAATTTTTTTATAACACGGATGATTTGAAGTCACGGATTCATATCGAAGTACTCGCCCGCCCAAGCCTGGCCTGCGCAGTAGAGAGGCTTCCCCCACCATGCGTTATTTTTTCTTCGCTGTCTCGCCCGAGCAGCTAAAGCCACAAGTTGCTTGACTTTTCTACGCGTTTTTCGGAGGCTTACCGACATTGTTAGTTTTTAAAACGATAGTTGCATCGTAGAAAAATATCTACAGAATACATATGGCATTAAAAAATTAAATTCAAAACATTTTTTAAGATTTCTCCGCCATTATTGCAAAACACATTTTTATACACTTTTGCTTATTATGACAAAACTTTGAAAAATTTTTTAACCAAATTTTTATTATAAGAGCCAAGTATTACAAATACTTAAAATTCAAGCACAGAAACTTTTTTTCAGGATTAGTAAGAACCCCGTAATTAAATGTCGAAAAATGGCCATTTCGAGCGGTCTTTATTTTCTTGTGGAAAAGTTGAAGACCGATTTGAGCTTAAAGGAACTTGCTTTCTTTGTTTTTTTAAGCAGTATTTCAAAGTAGTTTTTATTTTTGGGAAGAAATTTTTGTTCACTTGCAAAAATCGCAAAAAGCCTGCTTCACAGACCTTTTCAACATTTTTGTGTAAAAAGAAGTTAGAAGATTTTTTGATAATGAATAAGCCAAGACATTGATGTGCAGGCTTACTCTCTCTCTCTCTCTTCCTTTCTTTTTCTCTCTCTTTCTCACACTTTCTCTCTCTCCCTGCTTAAGAGAAGAAGAGCACCTTCTCCTTAAATTTAACTCTAGCCCCACCCACTTAATGAAGCCTCACAGCTTAAATATCACTTTCAACTATAGGTATTCCAGACTCATGATGTGTCGGCTAGTTTAACATTTTACTTATGCAAAACTCTGAAGGGCAAGTTTCGATTCCCTTCTTTTTCCCTACGTTTCTAAATATACATAAGCGATAAAGAGTATTTTGAAAAAAATTTTATATGAAATGTATCATAACATGCTAGACTCACTTTTGCTTTATCTAACAAGGAAAATTTATTTAGCTAATTCTGTTAATTATTAACTGAAAAGCGCTTGTTTAAAATAGTAAATAAGCTGCATATCATCAGCAAGCTCTTATACATATAAAAAATTTGAAATGTGCACATTTAAAATATCTTGAAGAACGCAAGCTTGACATAAATTAACATGATGTGCAACTTATGGGTGGTTTTACCATAACTGGCTAAGAGAGTCCAGAGCTCGTATGACGTTTCGAAAAAGAAATTAATTTTAAGAATATGCGATAAATTACAGATGTAACCAATTTCTTGTCCCTTTTACAAAGAAAGTTGCAAAAATAAGGTCGAAATGTCAGTTCCAACCCCTGTCCAAAACTCAACTTTTCATATAAAAGACTCCCACAGAACAAAATAAAACTTTTAAAAAAAATTTGTGTACGTACATTATAAACTTTACTCGTCATAGATAACATGTATACTGAAATTACATATTCTATTAGCAAATAAATGAAAACATGTAATGCGTTGTTTTTTTACTTTGATTTATATAAATATCATGGTAAGTATAGAAATGGTTTTAAAAAGTGCTTCGTTTAATTCTGCGAAGCCTTCTCACGGTCTCTTTTCAAATCACATAATAATACTTAAACAGTACACCAGCCAAAACAACTGAAAATTAAAATCACTGGGACTGGCAAGTGAACCATTTCTAACTTTTCACGTG